TCCAATTTGGGGATTTTTCTCAAGGGGGGGACCCCATATTTTGTAGAGTTATTTTTCATATTTAAAAATGCCATATTTCATTTAATTTTTGTGATCAATAATGATTTCGTAAAGCATAAACAAGCTAAACTGGTCCTTTGTCGAGGTTTGAAGTTTGCACTTCCCCAGAAAGTATCTCCTACTGGTGTCTTGGCGACCTTTAAAAAAGCATACTGGAATATCGAGCCCCACCTTGCAAGTGACGAGATGAAAGAGCTAACTGCTACGACTCTACGATCTGTGGCATTGGACTACATCAACCAGAAGGGGCCTAGACCTCCAGAAACCCTTTTGGAGGCCATCGATGAGCTGAGGAATCGAGATGACATAGTCGTTACAAAGCCAGACAAGGGTTCCGGTGTTGTTGTAATGGACAAATCCGAATGTCTGCGTCTGCTATCTGAAGCCTCCATCAATGACACCAGCAAATTTAGACTAGTTGATACACAGAGACCCAAACCAAGAGGAAGGCCAGTGAAATATTATCATCCGCTTTACAACGGGAAAAGCAAATTTGTGCTGTCATATCTAAAGCACTACCCAAGCCCATTGCCGACTCCATCCGTCCCAAAGGTTCTAGACTCCCACACTTATATGGCCTACCGAAGACGCATAAGGCACAACTTGCTATACGCCCAATTCTCTCCGCTACTCATACGTATAACTACGCGTTGGCTAAATGGCTGGATGAAAAATTGAAACCACTCTATGCAATCAGTACACGGTTACAGACACCTTTGAGTTTGTCAACGAAGCACAAAGCCTTGAGATCAACAGAGGTGACATCCTAGTATCCTACGATGTCACCTCTTTATTTACCAATGTACCACTGGATGAAACTATCCAGATTTTAGCTGACAAAGCTTTCAGTGATGCCTGGTTCAACAAGACCCATGAACTGAACCTATCAAGAGACCAGCTAATTGAACTACTCAACGCAGCCACTAAGAATCATCTATTTCAGTACAATGGAAATTTCTATGAGCAAACAGATGGGGTCGCAATGGGATCCCCTCTTGGTCCTCTGCTCGCCAATGTTTTTATGTGAATTTTAATTCCGTTTTATTATCGCAACTGGGAGATTTATTTAAGTAGGTGAACTCTGATACGATGCGCTGTAAAGGAGCCTTCCTGAAAAATTCTCTCAACGGAACTACTTTTACGGGCCACCAGTGTTATTTTCTAGACGGAAAGTAGACAGACCCTTTAGTCACACTGCATAAAATCGGCGACAAAAAGGATCAATCTAGCCATGTATAATTTTGCCTTTTTTTTTCTTTTTTTTTAACCCGCTGGTTACGTTCGCTACCGTGTGAAATAGTTTGCGTGACTCTTGACAAAGTACTGGTGCTATTAAAAAATCAAACAGATCGGTGTATTGATAAGCTGAGTTGTAAAAACTTGTTTGAACTTCTTATCTTGGATTTATTTCAATTCTTTACCTTAAAAGATTTAGTGGGAATGTATAAAATAGACAATAGCAATTGCGCAATAAAAAATTAAAAGTAAGATATGCGTTATGCGTCAAAGTGACCTTACGGAAAATTCTCCCAACGGAACAGTTTTTACGGGCCACCTGTAATTTTTTTCAGGCAAGTAGAATAGAGAACCTACTTTTATTTGGTTATATTTATTTACTTGTCTGAAATATAACAGATAGCATTTGACAAGTTCAAAGTTTGCTAATATTAGCTTTGTCACTTTAGGTCCGTAAATGGTTCAGCTTCCGAGTGTTGTCTATTTTGTAAAAAACAACATTTTTAAACAAAATTTAGCCCCGAGTAAAGTTTAAGAGATGCCCCACAAACTGTGTGAAGGACATGTTAAGACAGCGTTTGGTACGTCCATACGAGCATGTTGAACATGCGCCAAATTCCAAGCCTCATGGCCGCCGCTGAAGGCTCTGTGGCCGAATTTTCAAGTTTTGCAAATTTCGAAGAAAGGAAAAGGAAATCGAACCTTTTGATGTCATTTCCGAAACTAGTTAGCCAAAAGGGTTCTTTTGGCCAAATAAAAAATTCGTTATTTCGCTTCTGTCGGCCGATTCGCGATTTTTTCGGATTTACGCTCTTAAAATAGCTCTTGCAAATTTATACAGTGACAACGTCCAGGTTACGAAGTATTAACTTGTATTGTTTTTAGTTCATCCTAGTGTTGCTCTTCATCCGGGACCTCACTACATCGCTGAAGGAAGTAATTTCAGTCTTCCAGCTTGTCACGTGACTGGCGACCCAGCCCCATTTGTCACCTGGAGGAAATCATCGGGTCAGTTACCCAAGGGGAGGGTGCAGTATAACAACAGTGCTTTACAGATCGCAGATGTCCGTAAAAGCGACTCTGATACGTATTTCTGCTCAGCTGTCAATTTGGCAGGACGTGATGAAAGAAAAACTCTTTTGGTCGTTGTTCCTCCTCCTCGCTTCACTTTAAAACCGTCTGTGAAGGTTTTTGCCTCTCTTGGCAGCAGTTTGACGCTGAAATGTAGCGCCACCGGTGATCCACAACCTGTCATCAGCTGGAAAAGACAAGGAGCGCAATTGCCAGTTGGGAGGAGTCGCGTGTCAAAAGACGCGCTGATCATTAACAGTGTAAAGCTGGAGGATGCTGGGAACTACACCTGCGTGGTTACAAGTGCAGGAGTGTCCAGCATTGAGCATAGAAGTCGAGTAGTGATAAAGAAAGGTTAGTTTAGTTGTACGAGAATATTTGAAGAAAATACTTCTGTTCATTAATACTAAATAGTTCGCATAAATCAAAATTAATATAACTCGACGACAAACTTGAAGTTAATTTCACCATGGTTTCAATTTACTTTTTGTTTCCAATTTTTAGTTTTTTATATGTGTCGACTGAGCAAGGGTTGTCTGATAAAGATAAGCTTTATACAATTCTGTGTTTGAGGTTATCATTTGGGTACTGAATGAGTATATAGAGACATTTGCTATGATGGCTCAATCGAAATTAGATAGAACCAGAGTGCGTGCTTTGGTTTCCACTGGCGCACAAGCATAAGCCGACATACGCAGACACGCCAGTAAGACGTTGATAATCAGGTGACCAAAACTGACTCAGGCATGCATGCATCAGTGTGCAGCAACAAACATTATGGGTGACTCACGGAAAGTGGTTCGATTTACAGTAAACGGTAAG